TCAGCAGCACCCCCAAAAACCAAAAGTACCTGGATTTGGTTTCAGGAGTGGGAGATTGCAGTCCCAGAAGAAGGGCTGACCAGTGTACTACGCAGGGTCTCAACAAACTGAGTAAACCTGCCTACTGAACTTGAAACTTTACCTCTTACGTGGTTGGACTCTGAGCCCGTTGCCCAAGCCCCACCCAGCCCTCAGTATTAGAGGCTGAGCAGCCAGGAAATATGGCCACACTTGCTGCAGTGACCCCCACCCTCAGGAGGTTGTGGGGCAGATCAGATAGAATTCCTTGTCAGCAAAGCCAGGAATTCCTGGGTGTGGGTAGAGCCATGACAACCTGGGGGTTTCTAGCTCGGAGATCCTGCATTTATGGAGGCCAGAGCCAGGAACCACTTGGTTGGGAGGTGGCCTTGCTGTCCAGTTCCCATTCCAGGAGCCCCCGTCCTTCTGGAGTGGGGACTCCATGACTCTTTAGTGGAGGGCCCTCTCAGCCCCTAGACTGCAGGTCAGCGTGTCAGCCTCCAACTGTTTTTCTGTGACTGTTGCTCGCCGTGTAGGCTACTAAACATCTGGCTGAACCAAGCGTTCATCCTGACCTGAAGCTAGAACCTCAGAAACAAAAGTAAGGCCTGCTCATGCCCTCGCCCCACTGCCCCAGAGACCTCTTTGTCTCTTTGGTGTTTTGTTTTCTACTTTTATTTTTCGTTTCTGTGTGTCTGCATGGTATTTTTCGGGCAGCAGCTCCTGCCATCATCACCAGATGTTTCTTTTCTGCCTGCTCTCCTGAGCCGGGCCACCACAGAAGCCCTTCTTCCTTCTGGTTATGCGGGAGCAGTCCCGCCCTCTTTTCCCGGCCCCATTAGTAGTCTGCGTGCACGTGTTTTCCACAGTAAAACCGTGTTGTGTAACTCTTTCCAGCAAAGTAACAATCCGCCATTACAAAGGTCGTCCTCCTTGATCCAGTTAACGAGTCAGAACTCTTCTCCCAATCAGCAGAGAGCCCCACAGGTCATCGGGGTCATGCAGAGTCAAAACAGCAGTGCAGGCAACCGGGGACCCCGGCCGTTGGAGCAGGTCACCTGTTACAAGGTGAGTCTTGGGGCTGGGGCATGAGGAGGGGTCTTCACAGTCAGTGGCCATTCCCCAGATAGTTAATTTTGAAAAAATGAAAAATCTTTGTTTTTGCTGATTATAAGAATAAAAGTGGGCCATTCTGGTGGGCTAGCGACTATCCTGCTTCTTCCACAACACACCAAGGCCAAGTGAATGATTAAACACACATCACTGACTGAATGGAGTGCACTTACAAGAAAGGGAGGGAAATCTTTCATAGACTAGGGACAAAGTGGGAGCACGAATCCAGGGACAAAAATGAGCTGTGAAGCCTCTGGTTGTTTTCATATCCTCCGTGGATGCACTCAAGGGAAAGCAACAAAGCTTTAGGCCCACACAGGAAGGAATCAGATTAAAATATCCTTCTCGCACCACACACACACACACACTCACTCACTCACTCACTCACTCACACTCACACTCTCTCTCTCTCTCACACACACACACACACACACAAAATAGGACGCTTAGGGAAAGGTAAACTTTTTTAAAAATTTCACTAGGAAATTTGTGTGTAATTCTTGGCTCTAGATGGGAAGGAGGAGGGAAGTCCTTGAGAGTATAGGTACTGGCAGGCTTTTCTGTGAATTTGGGCCTGTATCCATGCCCTTGATGAGGGATAAAAAGCTATAGTTTTCTAATCTAAAACAGCCCCAGATAGGTGGGCTCCTGGCACCTGGCTCTTTGAGGAACTTGTTCTCAACCCAGATCACACAGAATTCCCACAACTAGAGTTCCAAAAATGAGTTCACGATTAAAAATCACAAAACAGAAGGAAACAGGCACCTCCAAGTGGGTTAGCAGAAACAATCTTACAAAGACTAGACTTAGACTTCAGACTGGCAATTGTTAGACAAAATACGGAGTTATTACAGGCTTTTTGTAACAACTTTTTGATTATATAGAAATGTTTAGGCTATACTGTGAGTGTTTGTCCCTTACTCCCACTTTTCCTAAAATAGCCACTTTATTCAGTGTTCTCTTCACAGCTTTTTGGTTTCGGTACCCCTTTACACTCTAAAACCCCTAAGGACCTCACCTGGAGAACTGCTTTTCTAAACTTTTATTCATTTAACAACAGGATGGTATGTTTTAATATAAATAGGGCCCTAGTATGTTTAATGTTCTATACTTTTTTCCTTTGTATTATAGATCACTATTATCAGTATTTGTAAATCTAATTTCAGTGACTGCATGATATAACCACAATTTACTTTACCAGTTCTTTGTTGGTAGACAATTTATAGTTTTTGCTGCTAAAAACAGTACTAAATCTGACATTTGTGAGCTCTTATCTTATGATGTCATTAGCATCCATGCTTACAAGTAGAAGGTCTGAGTCAAAAGGCATATAAAGTGTTCATAGAAAAGCGGGGCCACTGAGCACTCCCACAGCCATCAGTCACTGAGCACCTGCTCTGTGCCAGCTCTGCTGAGGAAACAAAGGCTGCTGCTGCTCTCTCCTGGGAGGGGAAGGCAGGTGCCCAAAGACTAAAGTTAAAAGTATACATGGATTCAGGAAAGACCTCATATTTCTGAGCCTGAGCCCCAACAGGTGAGGGGAAGACAGAGATAGGTGTGTAGGTGAGGCAAATGGGGGTACCTACACTATGTAGAGCAGACAGCTTCTGACCTCTTAGTTCTCAAGTGCTGTGAGGAAACTTAGGTGTCCTGAGGGAGCATACCTGTCATGTTGTTCCCTGCAGGACTCTTCAGTAAGGCTTCTGTGAATCAAGCTCTTCTAAGTCCTGGAACCTTAGAATGATGGGGTGGGGACCTGCCATCCTTTTCCCAGGGGCTTCACAGTTATTAAAGGTGGCTTGTGGGAATTCTGGATTCCCCAGGAACAGCTGTGGAGGCTGAGGGACATGCCAAGTACCATGAACGGACCCACATAGTCCCTCCCTCTGGTCTTCACATCAGCCAGAGGACTAACTGGCAGCTATACGGGCCACTCCTCCACACAAAGGTCATACTTACAGATCAGACAAGGGGACAGATGGGTTGGGAATAGAGTAGCCAAGAGTTCTGGGCAGTGACTCAGTAGAGCCCGTGTTCCGGGCTGAGGAAACAGGGACTGGGAGGGCACTGGATCGGTTAGTGCAGAGTGGGTGCTCCTATACACTTTGGACTCATTCAATGCTTGAGGCTGCTATTCACCTTCTTCTTGAATTCTGCTTGAGGAGCAACAAGAAAGAATGAAGGAAAGCTAAGTCAGGTACTGGATAATTTGAGTTTAGACAAATCAGGGCTGGTGCTACATATTTGAGGCGACTTTACCAGGTCTGTTCACCCAAGTCTAACCATTGTCCCATCTCTCTGATCCTGTGATCAAAACCTGTCCCCAGGGGTAGCTTAGGCAGGTGTGCAAGAGGCCAGGAGGGAGAACTCTGGGTGCAACCTACCCTGTGTCCACAGCAATGAATTCCCCACGTTGGGGGAGGAGCCTGGTGGCTTCTCTTGTTCCCTCCCAGCTCCAAGGAGTTCCAAAATGGTGCCTCAGAGGTAAGTGACCAGCCAGCCATGCAGAGGGGCTTGGTACCAACAGGTCGGGGAGCTCCGGTGCCCTGGGCTTCTCTCTATCCTGCCACCCACAGTGAGCCCTTCTGTGGGCAGGCCTTGAGTGCCCAGCCAGGCCAAAAGCTCCCTACTGTGTGATCTCAGATCATCCTGGCCATAGGAATCTTCCATTTACCAAGTTGTTGGCTGCAGTTTCTGTGGCACCACACCTTCTGGATCTCCTTTTCCCTCCTGTTTGAATGAAAATCTGTACCACTTGAAAATTTCAGAGTCCCTGTTCCCAACCTTTGCTGGGTGCTGCCGTAGTTGAAAACTGCATTTGAAAATGGTGTTTTTTGTTTTTGTTTTTTTTTGTCTCCTCCCCTTCCTGCTGTTTGCAGTGTGGTGAAAAAGGACACTATGCCAACAGATGCACCAAAGGGCACTTGGCCTTTCTCAGTGGACAGTGACAGCAGCTGGAGCCAGCTCAGAGCAGCCCAAGGGGCCTTGCTGGGGACCACTCCCAGCCATCCTTGGGAGTGTGCATTTAACTGTTTAATGTCAGTGTTGGTGCAACTCTGGCTGGAGCTGACAGGCACATTGGAGTTTATCATTCTGAGGGGCTACGTCTGTCATTCCCTATCATTTTGCTGTAATCTTTTTTTAAAGGGGACATGTGTTCCAGTTCTGTCTAAGTCAGCATCATGTTTGTCTAGGCATCAATACCTCCTGTCCAGGACTCCCTGAACACCACCCTTTGGGGAGGAGAGGAAGTTGTGGGGAAGGGCTTGTGCTAAACAGTTCTATGTGAGACAGCCCTTCCCCTCAGGGCCTCATTAAACACCAGTTCTTGGTGACCCCATGGACTGGTAGATCATTAAAACTTCAGCTAGGCCATGCCTGCTTCCTCCATGTCCT